ACCTGCTGGTTCCCGGGCTGAACTGGACCCTCAGGACATCAGACCCTGTGATGATGATGATGATGATGATGATGATGATGATGATGATGATGATGATGAAGGTGCTGATGTAATCTGACACCACCTGCTCAGGAGCTCTGAAGTGGCTGCAGCTCAGTTCTCAGCTGCTGTTCGGACCGGATCAGAACCGGCCTCRGAGGTGGAGCTGTGTGTTGATCCAACAGAACCATCCTGAGAACCAGACCTTTAATTAAACCCACAGGAAGTGGAGCTGGATCAGGACTCTGGGTCCAGGTGGACTGAAGAGGGACGTCCTGAACGGGTTAAAGAACCATAAAAACAAAACTTTAATTTTTCTTTTCTCAGAGGTTCTGATGATGAGGAGGAGACCAGGTGATGAAGAGCCTCAGGTGTCCAACAGTACCAGGTCATCAGAACCCTGATCCAGCAGCTGGTGAGTTTCTGTATTTATTTATTTATTTACAACATTTAAAACAATGTTGACTTAACGAGTTGCTTAAAAACAAATCAATCAAATCACAACAAGAAAATAAAAAGAATCTGAAGGAACTCGGAGCTCAAACAGTTCAGAGACGACCTGAGGGACCGAGACTGTCCTGGTGTCTGTGGATCTGTGGACCAGTTCAGTCCTGCTGGTCTAACGTGGTCCCTGTAGAAACCTGTCCAGATGTGTCAGCTGCCCTGAAGGACTAATGCACCCCCATACCATCAGAGAGGCAGGCTGCTCAGTGTTAGTGCTGAAGCCCCGCCCATCTTCACTTTTAGCCTCTGTAAAAATTGTATTTTAAAAATGGTTTATTTACTTTAAATATTTTATATTTAATTTAGTTTTTATTTACATTTCACACAAAGCCCCGCCTCCTTTTTAATTTTATTTATTTTTCATTCTGATCGTTTCGTCCCCCAGCTGTCCTCTTTAGGACATTAAAGGACATAAAAAAGCAGCAAAACTGGACCGGTCTGTATAAATCAGGGCGGTGCCTCAGATAAATCAGGGTGGAGCCTTAGATAAATCAGGGTGGAGCCTCAGATAAATCAGGGCGGAGCCTCAGATAAATCAGAACTAATCTGATAAATCAGGGCGGAGCCTCACATGAATCAGAACTGATCCTCTGATAAATCAGGACTGATCCTCTGATAAATCAGAACCGATCCTCAGATAAATCAGGGCGGTGCCTCAGATAAATCAGGGCGGAGCCTCAGATAAATCAGGGCGGGCCTCCGATAAATCAGGGCAGGGCCTCAGATAAATCAGAACTGATCTTCTGATAAATCAGGGCGGAGCCTCAGATAAATCAGAACTGATCTGATAAATCAGGGCGGAGCCTCAGATGAATCAGAACTGATCCTCTGATAAATCAGAACTGATCCTCTGATAAATCAGGGTGGGGCCTCAGATAAATCAGGACTGATCCTCAGATAAATCAGGGCGGAGCCTCTGATAAATCAGAACTGATCTGATAAATCAGGGCGGAGCCTCTGATAAATCAGAACTGATCTTCTGATAAATCAGGGCGGAGCCTCAGATAAATCAGGGCGGGGCCTCAGATAAATCAGGGTGGGGCTACACTCTCGGGGGGTTTGTGTTGCTGGTGGTCAGAAGCCCACCCACACCTCAGCAGGTGCATCTTGGCCCTGACCCTCTTGATGCAGCGGTCCAGCACGGCCCGGACCGCTGCCGAGGACAGGTAGAAGATGAAGGGGTCCAGGCAGGCGTTCAGGGTGCTGGACAGCAGAGCCAGGTTCCTCCATTCCTGGTTCTCCATGCTGATGAAGCCCACCACGTGGGAGGCGTTGTACGGCCCGAAGCAGACGGTGAAGACCACCAGGGTCCCGAGCGCCAGGCCGATGCAGCGCAGCCGCCGGCGCCGGCTGATGTTGGGGAGGCGGGACAGGATGAGGATGAAGTTGACGTAGCAGAAGCAGCTGATGAGGAAGGGAACGCAGAACAGGACCAGGAAGAGCTCCAGGCGGATCGGCAGCAGGATCTTCAGCTCCGTGTCTGAGAAGTTCAGGTAGCAGGTGGTCGGGGGGGCGGAGCCTCCGCCACCACCGCTGGCGTTGGAGCCTTGGGTCCACTGGTAGTACGGCAGGATGTAGACGAAGCTCAGGTTGGACGAGGTCACCAGCCAGAAGGCCACGCAGGCCCAGACGGCGTAGCGGGGGCGGCGGCACAGTGCGTACCTGAGGGGGAAGGCCACGCCCAGGTAGCGCTCCACGCTGACGGCGGTCAGCAGCAGCGTGCTGTTGTAGATGGTGACGAAGAACAGGAAGCCCGTCAGCGGGCACAGCGAGTACGGCAGCAGCCAGCTCATGCCGTCGCTCGCCTCCTTCATCTTCAGGGGCAGCAGGGCCAGGAAGACCAGGTCCGACACGGTCAGGTTCAGCAGCAGCACGTCGATCGGGGACGCCTTGCGCCGCACCTTCCTGCAGAACGTCACCAGGGACAGGATGTTGGCCGGGACCCCCATCAGGAAGGTCAGGATGTAGACCACCAGCAGCAGGCGGCTGTAGAACATGCTGCTGGGACCAGGAGTCCTAGACCAGGACTCTGAGACYAGGAGACTGAGATCACGACCCTCAACGATTCTGCATGAGACCAGAGAACAGAGTCAGACCTAACAGAGTCCAGAACCAGTTTTAGTTTAGACCGGACCTGAACCTGGTTCAGATCCAGAAAGTCTAAGCTTTGATCAGAGTATTATCATTTTAAATCTTTAAATAATTTATAGTAAGTAAAATTTATTTATATAGCGCCTTTCACAGAAATAAATTCACAAGGTGCTGTACCACAAGTTAACACCCATTCAAGAAGACACACATGACAAACGTGGGGGAACAGGTGAACAGGTGAACAGGT